AAAGTCTGATTGCTTTTAAATAACATTCCGAAAAAAGAATTGTGAATTTTTCAACTATATTTCTCAAACACTTCTATATAATTATTTAATTTGTTTAATGTGTAATTCTTAATAATTCTCAAACAATTCCTAGCTATACAAAAATAAGGGAGTTTTTCTCAATATTTGTTAGCCATACATATATTTTGTTTTTTCTTTTTTTTTATACTCTCAGCCACATGGCTTGATACAGCCATCATAGAAATAACGGTTTTAGACCCTAGGTCTCTTTGACCCAAATTCGTTTCAGGACATTTGGAGTCAATCTAGCGATGTCCGCCCGTCTGGCTGGTGCTCATGATAACTCTCGAAAGGAGAATCCGATATGAACCAAACTTGGTACATCGTAATATTATTGTCAAACTTAGATCGAGTTCAGAAATTGGCAATAGCGATCCCATCCTCCACAAAATGGCAAAATTTTCATAGAAAATTACCTGCAGAGAAAGGGAAATTATAATTCGCTTTTGCTCCAACTTTGCAAATCTTAATACTTGCATCAGAGCTAGGCCAGGTGAACAATATCAGTTCACTCCAACAAGTACCTCCCCCACAAAAGTACAAAATTTTGAACAATTACAACACGTATAATATGTGATGTAGGTGTTCGATTGCTCTTTGAATAAGACATATTTTTTTAATCTTATATCATAGGAATTAAGGTATAAAACTTAAAATTCTCCCAAGAACCCTATTGGCCGGAAATTTCGCATTTCTCCCATAGAATATATTTTTCAATGTTTCAAAAACAGAAAAATGCATGAAATCTTTACTTATGATTCGAAGTATTAACATTATTTCATGTACATTTTGACAGCGGCCCATTCACTTAGTCCAATTTGGAATACTGCCGGAATCTTATGAATAAATGATTCAATGTTGTCTTCCAATGCGTGTCAATTAAAGCAGGCTTATCTGTATAGACATAAGATCTAATATAGCCCAACAAAAAAAGTCTGAAGGGGTTAAATCGTCCGATCTAACCGGTCCCGAACGTGAAATACAATGTTTACTGAACTGTAAGCTTTTTCGTTTGTAAAACGATTCGTGGTTAAATTATAGACCAAAGTGGATATGTTTGACAGTGAAACAAAACACAAAATGTACGTGAGCATTTTAATCCAGTGTTGCCAAAAATAAAATAGCTAAAAAATTCACAAGATTTAAGTTTTTATCTAAATGTCTGTGGGTCTACCGGCTTTTAACGCCCGTGACTGTTGATATATATTAAGAAGTCCCAGAATTTTATATAAATATTCTTGTGGATCATTTAAAATACACTATGGATACCAACACAAACATTAATCTGAAGCAAGTCCGTAAAAAGAAATAGCCTATTATTGAACGTAAGCTTTGATTCACACAATTGTCAGGCCCAGGTATTCATTCCTATGCAGGTCTGAGTGGTATTATCCGACCTAAAAAAATGCATCAGTTTTAATAGCTTTTATTGATCCCACTATTACTTTATTGCAACTGATGAGCATAAGTAGCCTAGACTAACCGCTACAACAGTCAAATAATTATACAATATAGGTTGTTTTATTATATATTTTGGAACCTATTTGTAGTTTCTTAATCACAATATTGTATTAAATATTTGTATTATTTTAATCTACTCCCACAAAACTCCAATCCCCATTAAAGTTTCCCCTTCCCTCAAAAAGACTTGTTTAAAAAGTCAATGTCCTTGCCCACTAAAATCCAAACAACGGCAAACTACAACATGGCATAGAAACTAATGAAACGCAAACGCTAAGGTAGCCGAGAAAAGGTAAAAATTGTAATTTATTTGTTTTTCGTGTCAAATTTATGTCACATATGGTGACATTTTGTACGTTGTTTACGGCGAGGCGAAGCCGTCACATCTGCATATCGTGTTATGATGATAAATAATAGCAAATCGTTTTTCATTCAACATTCAATGAAAATTCATTGGATGGAATAAAACAACAAAAACAACAGCAAAAGGCCAACAACAACAGCAATCACAAAACACGCCGTTCAACATACAAATGAATTGCGAAAAAAAAGGAGAAGCGAACGAACAAAATATTCAATCGATATACACGACAATTGCTATTCCACCCAACAACATTGGCAGCAAATAACATTTAATATTTACAAAAAAAGAGGAAAAATGCATGAGAAAAACTTTACAAAACGCTGGCATTAAACAACAAGAACGGCAGCAGGAGAAACAGCAACAATAATGTGTAATAAAATGTACAAATGTTAGATCGATATTTGTGTGACTTTTATTTTAACACGACTCTTAAATGAAAACAAATGAAACAAACACACACACATACACACCCAGCTACAAAAACAAATATGCAATTATTTTAGCTATTCCGTTGGATTGCTGTTTTTTTTTTCAAATTTCTGTTTACAATTTAATTTTAAAACGGCGCCAAAATGGCAATGATTGTAAATAGAACTCAAAAATGCTGCTGCCTTTAAAGGATATAATACAAGCAGAGGTAAAAGTTAATTTTTAACCATAGAATAATACAGAAGACAAGTTGAATATTCTTGAAGAAAATATTAAAATCGAATTTATAAATGCAGATCAATTAAAAAATAAATATTCCGCACTGAAAAGCATGCAACATTTTGAGCTCTTTAAAAAAACAAGTTAAAAAGCATCAGTCGGTTTTGCCGACAGATGTATAACCATAATATTGTAAGTCGATTTAAGAATGTCCGTATGTCTGTCCGTCTGTCTATTGAAATCGCGATACAGCCCACATTTTTTGATGTAGAGCTTCAAAATTTGACAGAACAGTATGTATTGTGTCTAGTTTGGTTGGCATTGAAAATGAGATATATCGGTCCACGTTTTGGTATAGCCTCTATATAACGGTACCTCCCGATATTCGGTATTTTTGGTATATGTAGGTCATAATGGGGTTTAGTTTCACAGGCGAAACATTGCATGTATAAGACCACGTTTTCGTATAGCCCCCATGTAACGGTACCTCCCAATATTCGGTGTTTTGATTATTTTTGCCAATTTTTTAACGGATTGGTCTTAAAATTCGTATTTGTAGTGCATAATGGCTTTTAGCTCCGATGGCGGAACATTGTATATATAGGTCCACGTTTTCGTATAGCCGCCACATTTTTCCACAGATTTGTCTAAACCCTGGTATATGTAGGTCATAGTAGGTTCTAGTTCCGATGGCGGAACATTGTATGTATACGCTCTCGAAATTTGGCATTTTGGTGATTTTTGTCACATTATCCACGTCTAAAAATTGGTATTTGTAGTTCTTAATGGTGTTTCGATCCAGTGGCAGAACATTGAATATCTACATCCATGTTTCCTATAGCCGCCATATAATGATACCCAGTGATATTCGGCAATTTGGAATTTTAATTAATTTCATATTCCTCTCAGGTTTCTGGCTGAGTGTTCTGTTTGATTCAGGTTCTGCTTGGTTGTTACGCATGTTATGATGGATATAAGTTTTTGTAAATTGTGACCCTTTGTGACCCTTTGTGGCCCCTGGTGGTACCAGAAGGGTTTCATAGATATATGTCATCTTCACAACAGATCTTGCGTTAACAAAAATATTTGGATTTATGAAATTTGAAGAGATTTGGATTCATATTCTGCTTCCTTCCAACGTTTAGTTTTTGAAAAACCTTGAACCTTATGTGGGGGAGGTACCAGAAGAAATATTCCGATTCCTACCATCTTTAGAACAGATCTTGTGTTGATAGAAATATTGAGATGCACAAAGTCTGAATGAAATCAAATGTTAATTTCGCGTTTTCGGAGATTCATGGATACTCAAAATTATAACCAGAAAAAGTGGACCTGTATATCTCAATTTCACCCCAGACCTTAGGTTGGTAAAAATGTGTGTAACGTGAAAAGAACCTGATGATTAATTCGTGTTTTATTATATTTATTGGTTATTTAAAACTTTGACCCTTTGTGGGGGAAGAACCAGAAACAATGGTCCGATCTGTACTATACTAATAAAAGATCTTGTGTTTATGGAAATATTCCAAATATTGAAATATTCCAAACCAAATAAATGTTTAATGAGCTTCATAAATATCCAAAATGTTGACCCTTTGTGGTGGAGGTAACAGAAGGAGTGGAACGATATATTCCATCTTAACACCAGACCTCGGGTTAACAAAAACATTGGCAGTGTAGAAGTAGTGAACCGATATATTCCATCTTAACACCAGACCTTGGGCTAATAAAAATATTGATATGTGTGAAATTTGAAGACAATCAAACTATTACTTCACATTTTATAAGAATTATAACTATTCAAAATGTTCACCCTTTGTGGGGTACTTGGTAGAGTAGACCGATATTGTCCATCTCGAACCTGACCTAGCACAGCTGCAAATATTAGGATTAGCACAGTTGGACCAAAATTGGATTTTCCTTTTTTTGAGAATTTTAATTTTTCGGTGGGGGAGGCACCAGAAGCATGGACCGATATTGCCCATCTCCGAACTCGATCTAGGTTTCATAATAATATTACTATGTACCAAGTTTGGACCGAATCGGATAATCCCTTCGATAGTTATCGTGCGCTCCAGCCAGACAGACGGACGGACGGACAGACATCGCTAGATCGACTCCAAATGTCTTGAAACGGATTTACCTCAAAGAGACCTGGGTCTAAAACCGTTATTTCGACTAGGCACCTTTTGACCGCATCAAATGATATATTCCATCTGTAGCCATATGGCTGAGGGTATAAAAAATCAGCTCAATATAAAGGAATAGTTCTTCCAAAGATTTATTAAAAATTCCCCGAATACATTTAAAAATATACAATTATCCTTAAAAAAAAAAAAAAAAAAAAAAAAAAACAGCCAAAATATACTTATTTAAAGATTCTACAACTCTTATATATCAAATTTAAATATTTAAATTCATTTGCCCTTCCTTAAATGTTAAGTCAGTTAAAAAAGTATAAGCTTACCTTTAGCACTTGTCCGTAGCAAACAAGACCTAGATTACATTTTTACAGTTGCTTTAATTACGATTTGTTCAACTTTTTTTGTGCACATATTTTTTTTTCTCTCTATGCATTTGCTTCCACTCTTTTGGCACAAGATGAAATGTTGCAACACTTCTCAAATAACAACCTAAAACCGACCGTAAATATTCTTCACAAGGAACAAAAACAAACACTCGCGCCAAACCGACGATCGAAACACGAGCAACAACAACAATATGAACATGGTTGATGCTTCACTCATTACCACTTGCACAATGAACAAAATGAAAATTGTAAAAAGAAATGTCTTCTTAGCAAAGCAAATAAATAGATATTTGTTTGTTTCCCACACACGCACACTCTATAACACATCACTAATAAATGAAATATTTGTTTTTAGTTAATATTTTTAATGTTTATAATATATATTTTTAATTACTATACAGAGGGTTTCAAAAATACATACGATCGAATTCAAAGCAACACGACAACTAACATCAACTTCAATGAAGATGGGGGAGATGCAATAGTCGATTGCTCTATTTGAGTTAATTTGAAAGAAAGGTCGAACAAAGAGAATTGGGGATTGAGAATTTTAGCATGCTCTCAGTAACTGCAATTCAGTGAGTGAAAGAGAAATACGGTTATTTTATTTGCAATTTGGACTAGAAGAGATCATTGTGTTTTATTTAAGAGTACTGGGGACAAATCCAAAGTGAGCTGTGCAAAAATTAAAGAGAAATACTTGAGAGAATTTTAAAATAATTCTTTTGCGTTGAATTTTTACTTATTTCATAATTTTCAAAGAAAAGCCGATATTGTCCTTTTTCGCACCTGACCTAGCACTAATACAAATAGTAAGATTTGCAAAGTTGGAGCAAAATTGGATTAGCCTTTTTCTTTCTTTCTGTGTCGTAAAATATTTTTCATAACCTCAGCCTTATGGCTACAGAGGGAATATATCATTTGATATGGCCAAATCGTGCCTCATCGAAATAACGGTTTTAGACCCTAGTTCTCCTTGGACCAAATCCGTTTCAGGACATTTGTAGTCTATCTAGCGATGTCCGTCCGTCCGTCCGTCCGTCAGTCTAGCTGGTGCACACGATAACTCTTGATATAGTTTTGTCAATCATAATATTTTTGCCAAACTTAGATCGAGTTTGGAGATGGGCAACATCGGTCCCCAACTTCTGGTACCTCCCCCACAAAACGTCGAATTTTTCAAAAAATATATTTTTTGCACAGAAAGAGAAAAGATAATCCGATTTTTCTCCAACTTTGCAAATCTTAATATTTACGTCAATTACGTTACGAAAATGCACAATATCGATCTACTCCTTCTGGTAGCTCCCCCAAAAGGGGGTCAAAAATTTAAATAATTACAACTCTCATAAAATGTGATGTAAGAGTCCGATTGTCTTCCAACTTCACACTTCCTAGTATTTTTGTTAACCCAAGATCTGGTGTTAACTTGGAATATATCGGTCCACTCCTTCTGGTACCTCCCCCACAAATGGTGGAAATTTTCAAAAAATATATATTTTTTGCACAAATAGAGAAACGATAATCTGATTTTGCTCAAACTTTGCAAATCCTAAAATAGACAATATCGGTCCATTCCATCAAGTACCTTCCTTATAAATGGTCAAAATGTTGAATATTTACAACTCTCATAAAAATGTGATGTAAGAGTCCGATTGTCTTTCAATTTGACAAATCCCAATATTTATATTAACCTAAGGTCTGGTGTTAAAATGAAATATATATGTCCACACCTTCTGGTACCTAACCCACAAAAGATCGAAATTTTCGATTTTTTTTTCTGCGGAGAAAGAAGAGCTTTAATCCGGTTTGGTCCAACTTTGCAAATCCTAGTATTTGTGTCAGTTTTAGGTCAGGTGCAAAACTGGCTAATATCGGTCCACTCCATCAAGTGCCTCCCCAATAAAGGGTACAAATTTTTAATATGTCTTGTAAAATGTGATGTAAGAATCCGATTGTCTTAAAATTTCACACATCCCATGCAAAGTACAATAATATAGGCTGTAACTTAATTTCAAGAGACCTACGGACATCGTTTAATCGGCTTCACGTGTAATGCTCATAGCGAGTACAGGGTGAGACGAAAAAACTGCAAACAACTTCAGACTGCTGTCATTTCTAAGCCACTCATTCGACAGCTGTGTAAATTATTTCAGTAACAACTCATATTGTATACAATCGTACTAAAGCATTTTGTTGAGAATTTTCCAGAAAAAAAATTATTCGTGATGTAATTCAAGCGTGATAGTGTGATTTCTTTATTTTTGGCTGGAAAACTACATCTGGCTATCGTTAGAGCACTCCAGCATTTAAATGTAAAAAAATCTTTTGTGTCTCGTACCATCGCTCGTTACCGTGATGCTGGTAGCGTAACCCGATGTCCAGGAAGTGGACGAAAGAAAACAGCAACATCAGCAGAAATGCTTCGAAAAGTAAAGAAGCGACTTGATCAAAACCCGCGTCGCATTGGCCGAAAAATGGCTCGTGAGCTGAACATATCGCAATATTCCATTCGGCAAATGTTGAAAAATGAGCTGGGAAATGAGCATTGAAATTCAAAAAAGTGCAAGAACTTAAACCGCAACAGAAAGAAAATAGACTCAAAAGGGCTATAAAGTTGCTTGGCCGAAAGAGGTAAACTGCCGAATTTGGGTTTCTCCGCTCCGATGAGAACACATTCGTTGTCCAGCAGTTTGTAAACAAACAAAATGATCAAAGAGGTCAGCTGAAAATGTGCACCTTCGGTTGGCCACCAGACTATAACTCAAGCGCCGGCCATGGTGATGATGTGGGCCGACATAATAGCCGATGGTCGCTCTCCGCTCGCATTAATCGACCGTGGCATCAGAATAAATGCCGAATATTATCGCGAAAATATTCTGAAGGGTGTATTAAAGCCTTGGGCACGCAAACATTTTAGCCTCAGACCATGGACATTCCAATGGCCACCAAAATCTCCGGATACCAATCTAAAAATACCAAAGTCTTTTGTCAGCAGGCAGATCAAGTTCGAAGATGGGCTATACGAAGCACGATATCGTTATCCCGTATATAGCGGTACCTCCAATTGTTCGGTATTTTGATGCTTTTAGCCAAATTTTTCAATGTCTGAAATCCTACACAAGAACTTCTTTGTGAGTACTTTACGTATAGAATTGTATATATAGGTCCACGATATCGAATAGCCCCCATACAACGCTACCCCCCGATATTCGCTATTTGGATGATTTTAGCGACATTTTTTCCGCAATTGTCTTAAATTTATCAATCTATGATAAAAACAAGTAAGCAAAGGCTACAGTCGAGCGGGGCCGACCGTTGAATACCCTACAACACTGTAATAAACGATACAGTTTATATAGGCGATATTGTGACAAATAATAAAAGAAAATCATCAGGTTTGGTTCTCTAATTTTCGAATAATAGCAACTTTAACTAATTTGCTCATTTCCAATTTATTGGTAGATGTTGCACTTAAATGGTCTTCCTAGGTCTGGAACCAATATTTCCCAAAGACCTATAATCTCTCAGAAGTGGCAAAAGATTAACATTTATTATTGGTTTTTGACTGAAACGCATCTATATGAGATACAGACATTTGACTATATTCTTCAACGAAATCAGCGTTAACGAAATAATCAGAAGTAAATTCTCCAAAAAGTCACTGGAATGGACATATTCGTATTTTGTCTACAAAAGTTGGCAAACTCCTTCACACATTGATTATTTTTGGATGGTCATCCAAAACTGCTTAGCTTTTGCAATGTCCGGTAACCCCCATTCGAATGTGCGTGAGGATCGGGCGATAATTACGACCTGCTGGCAATTTTGCAATTTTTTTGTCCATTTCAACCCTAACCCTAAATATATGCCGATCATCTCCAAAAAGAATAGGCTTTTATTTTGACCCTCATCTTATCTCCATGCAAAATTTCGTAAGCATCGGGCCATAAATGCGATCTGTATATGATATCCTGATATCCTAACTACTTAGTTATGTTAGCTGTAGAAATATTACCAAATGTTTAATTCAAAATGAAAATATGCCAAAAATATTACAAAATTGAAAAATATGAGAAAATTTTACAAAATCAATATTTTCATCTTTAGAGAGATATTTGTATGCGATTTTTTAGATGTTTTTTCTTTCCTGCCAAGAGGCCATTCTAAATTAATGAGAACTGTCGAAATCAGTTCAGCCGTTCTCGACATATAAGATATCTTTCAAGCATATCTTCTTTGATAGACTTATATATCGCATATATTTTGCTATATATCCGATTTGATGGATGTTAACATCAATGTAAAGATCAGAAGTAACCTTGTCATGGCTTTGTGATTTCGCCGGGATTTAAAATATTCGCGGTTTAATGAAAAATTTTGATTTTTTTCAACACAAAAGATATGGTCTATTTTACCCGCTAAATATTATCCGATGACCACCCAAATTGGTAGGCTTTTTCCCCGCCCTAAACTCTAGCTATATGCGAAATTCAGCGTCGATTGGTCTATAATTACGACCTGTAGAGCAAGTGCAAAATCAGTAATTTTTTCAGTTTTTGGTCCATTTCAACCCCTAAATATTATGCGATAATCACCAAAAGAAATAGGGTTCTATTCTGACCCTAGCCCGACCTCCATTTTAAATTTCGTGAAGATCGGACCATAATTGCGACCTGTAGAGTGATTACAAATTAACATGGACAGACGGACAGACGGACAGACGGACGGACGGACATACATAGCTAGATCGACTCAGCTCGGCGAGATAGGAAGATCCATATATACTTTCCTATGTGGGAAATCAATATTTCGTGGTGTTACATAATTTTTGGCCCAATCAAACTTATAATACCCCCAACACATAGTGTTGTAGGGTATAAAAATTGCGTATTCAGTTTCAAATTTCGTATATGAAGCTCGTAAAATTGTCCATGACATTTAGCCAACATACCACGGCACCTCCCTATATTTGGTATTTTGATTATCTTAGCGGCATTATTCACCGGAACTCTTTCCAGTTTGATGATATGAAAGACATTTTTTACGGGCCCACCTCTTGCAACGGTTTTCCTTTAAGCGATATTATTCGATGACATTTTTTGGAAAATTTTCAAGTTTCATCAAAATAGTGGAACTTATTAAAAGTTGAACTCGGCCGAACTTAGCTGCTTTTTTACTTGTTTATACTTCTTAAAATCTCAAAATTTTTCTCAGCGCAAGACAAGATGTAAAGATGGGTTATATCGGTTAACTCCTCCTACTAACTCCCCCGCCCCAAAGCGGTCAACATTTTGAAAAAAAAAAAAAAACACTCATAAAATGCGAAATAAACATCTGATTCTGTTC